AAAACACGGCCATTTGGCGCACCGTAATCGTCTCAGGTCCGCATCACACATGTAGCGGGAAGGCGCATGAAACCCCCTAGTATGTTTATAGCCAGTGATCGTTGATGTTTAACGACAGAATATACTCAGTACTCATGCAATCGCCACAATGTTGGGAGAAGCATCTGGTATAGTCCACGGCCTACAATGTCAACGATCAGTTGCTTGAAGCATTACCCAATATGCAATTATGATGTTTATTCGCCACTTGAAGTCGCAGGACAGGCCAAGAGCGGCATGCGGTAGTCGGGTGGGCTAGTAGTTTTGGACAAACGAGCACTATGGGCCAATTAATTCGTTTCTAATAGAAGTTAATATGCGAGTTCCAGGAAGCAGTTCAGAAGAAGAAGATGCGATCATTGGATCGAGAGTTCTATTTTCCGGACGTTTCGGAATCCGTCGAGAATCTTTAATCATGGGTAATGGTAGAATAGTCTGAAGCACGCGCAGCTAGGGGTGAAACGGTGTGGATAGTTGGTAGCGGTCATCCGCGTGCGTACTATAATTACCCATAAGTATAAGAAAGAATAATTTTGTGAATGTTTTCTATAAAATATATCTGAATTTATCAAGGCATTCAAAATCAATGAGTTAAATGCCTACTACGTGAGTAGCCATTTTTTTACGGAATATACATCTTGCATGCGACCAGAAAGCAACTCATTTAAAAGCCAGCATTCTGACGTAACTGAAATGAAGTTAGATTAGGGTGCACAATAGTAAATAGTACAAACCTACTTAATGCCGTTTTACGGGTGATTATCAATCTTTCGCAAATTTCGGAATTTTGCATGAAATACCGGCTATACTGTAGTTTACTATGGCAGTCCTGAACGGTGCGCCACCGATGAGTCTGCGCAATATCATTCTGAACGACAAATCCTGGGTGTCTGGGCACCACAGAAAGAGTCTTTAATCGCAGTATTTCTGCATAACGCAGACCATGAAGGTCCTTATCAAGGGAAAACTGGCTGATCTCTCCGGAGCTGGAAACGATTGCCGAAGCAAGAATGAACCCTGCAGTGTCCTGAAAAGTAGTGAAGAACATGCCGTCGCAGAACCGGTGGCCTTATATGTCCGAGCCGGGCTTCGTCCGTCGGCCAAGTTCGCTTCGAAGCGTGACAAATCGATCTAAAGAACAGTGCTCCATTACGGAGAACGCCCAATTTACCACGGCACAACATAAGTAAAATGGGATATTTTACGGTCCTTCTTCAACTACAGCTTTTAAGCGGCCTCCTTATCCTTTAACTGTATTTCTTCAAAGCTCTGCTCAATTTGCAGATGGATACTCTCAATCCACTTTCATATTGCCAAACGGAAGCGGATAAAAATCGATTACAGCCCACATCTCAATAAACCCTTGTGATTTCGTACTATTGTTATCACCGGACGAAAGTCAGCCGGGACCTTTTGAATTTTACCACTATAGTACAAACAGTGATCCTGCGTTCACCCACACATTTCGCGATCCTATGTTTCTATTAGCTCACCTTCCATATATCGACCACATTTGATATTTCTTATTCTCTGCCGCATATGTCGCGGAGCAAAGAACACATGAAAGCCTTGGCTTAGCCGGAGCGCAGTAAGTCCAACTTGTCAGTGCATAGGGAACCCATGCGCTCGTCCTAATGTGGGAGATAGATGCACTTTTAGAGTTCATTGTGCGATTCAGAAAGATAACCGGCGTATTTATTTTATACCAGCCCTGTAGTACCCCACTACTGGGATAAGTCCTGATCGAGTTATTGTTAGTTTTTGTGATGACGGCAGTGTAAAGAGAAGAGGTAGCGGATGGGAAAGAGGAGGCGGGGAGAAGAGAGAAGGAGCCTCAAAGTTAGGTGACCGAACTCACAGTTTTCACAGTGTAGTTCATCGTATCCATTTCCACAATCGTCTTCGCCATCACAGCGCCAATGTTCTTGGAAGTAGTTTATCTTTGGAGGTTGACCATTTACGGCTTCACATTTCTTCGTGATGGCATCACAAACATCTGTAGAGAGTTGAGCATAAAATATGATGCATATTAAAAAATTATTAGCCTCCATCAACATTACAGGTGGCTTAGATAAGTGAGTGAACCGCTTTCTGTACCGTTATTAATCTGTGAATTTAATAAATTATACGGAGGATTAAAATGCAATTTACTGTTAGCGCTCCAATTTCACTTGTTTTGGCACAGTAGCGTTTGCTTGTCACCAAGTTAGATAATGAGTTTGTTTGGCCTCAATCACTCCAACCGTAAATTCGACGTAGAAAGATATCTTCACATTCAAAATGCTTCCCAGTTCATTGAATAATAATGTATATTCGTAATGAGTTAATGTTCATTGTTTTGAGTTTAAGACCAGAACCACACTTTATGGGACATCTACTACAAATAATTTAAGTATATTCATTTTTGAATATAGTACACAAACTTAAGTTGGATTTTCGAAAAAAAAATAACTAAACGTCGAAACAAAAGGTGCATTAAATATGTTTTCTATCAACACTAAAAAAAATAGGACATGCAGAAACGGTTGTAATAGTTGTATGCTTCTGTTTTTCGCCTTACCGCAGTTCTTTGGCAGTTCGTCAGACCCGTCCGGGCAGTCCGGCTTTCCATCGCAGAACTGGCCAACAAACAGACATGTACCATCATCACAGCGCCTCTGGCCGACTTCGCAGCTCTTGTCGATGTAAACCACAGCCTGCCTGTTCGAACCCCCTGGTAGGTAGCATCTGGCGGAACACAAAATTAGCACAGAACAAAATGAATAAATCTTCATCTGCTGGATAAGCAACACCTTGCTGTCAAGCTCAGTAAAGGCAGTAAGTCCGTCTTAGTAGTTATGGTAAAGGAGAGATCACTGAACATGAGATGAACAAATGGAAATGTAGTGGACAGCCAACACTGCTGGCTGACTTCTTTGTTTAATGTTCACTGCCTAGAGACCATGTGACTTCACAGGGAGCGCTTTCCAACTCGCTGATTTGCAGACCCTTGACTGACAACCAATCGCGCACACACGCACGTCAAAATAGTTGCGGCTGCCTAAGGGCCCCATGAACACGCCACTTAACTCCATGTGCTACATTTCCTAATTCCGGAGAGTATTACCTTGAAACTCGTTGGCGAACGTTCACCGACAATGTTATCTGCCTTAACGACTAGCCTCTATGCGGCTGCTGGTAGAGCTCAAGAATGGGCCCCAAGGCAGAGCGGGATGACTGAGGTCTGTTAGCGATCGGTGAACGTTCGTCAACGAGTGTCCATATTCGCGACCTAAACCAGCACATAGCCGGAGGCGTTAGACTTCTGATCAAAGGGTTGCGGGTTCGAGCCTCGGGTGCTGCATCACTTGGGATTAGCTATGACTGGCTGATGACA